TCCAGTCTGTAGGGGACAGCCAGAAAACTCCATCCACATCTCAAGGAGTGAATTAAAGCAGTCTTGTTAAACCAGTGCTGAACTCCTGGGCTGATACAGTGACTCAGAATCCCTAACTCCAATTAGCTTAATTCCACTCCAAAATGAATCAAAAAAACCCAAAACAAAACAAAACAAAACAAATACCAAATGAAGGGTACTTTAATTCCAGCTAAGAGCATCTACTTGGGATGTTAATGTAGTTTAACTAATCCAGTTTAAAATTAATTTGTGTTAATTTGCTTGAGATCCTCACCACTGCGTGGGCTCGTATAAGAGCCCCTGAAAGTCTGTGTATACATTTCCCTAATGCAGCTGACAGTGTATGGAGCAGGTCTCCATATCTTTGCAGGGGCTGGGGGAACTGGGGCAGGATTTCACCCATGTCTTGGACCCACATTTGAGTAGACAGAATACAGGGAAGGTTTCTGCTACAGAATAATCACTGTGAGCACTTAACAACTGTAGCTATCAAGATATTTCTTCATGAAGGAGAAGCATAAAGTAGACCTCATCCTTCAAAACACAAATTTAAGTTCATTTGTTGGGAAGGCCAATATAACCCCAGATCTTGGATCTGAAAGGCTTCATAACACCTTTGACAAAGGGTCACTACTGCTGTCAGCAGTGAAGAAACCAGTCAACATCCTGACCATGCCGAAGGGAAGCCTGGGGAAGCCCATGCCTCAGTTTGGAGAGCACATCCCTGAGCTGCTAACAGCTCCTGGCCTTCAGATCATAATTTGGCATCCCTCAGATGCCTCTGAGATGAGAAACTGGTCTTGTCTCACCAAAAAACCTTTGGGTCGAGCACTTGCCTCACTTAGGTGTTTATGCACAGACTGTCTTGGCTGGACCCTTATGTCCTTCGACAATTATTAAAGGTTCAGTCCACCCAGAAAGACCAGAGCAGCAAACGTCATCTGGAAATGACAAGCCAGCCAAGTCAGGAGGGAGGAGAGTCCCAGTCCTCTGCACCTCAACTCCAGGCCTGTTAAGCACTTTGGGGTTGGAGTGCAGGAGAGACAGGCTGTGCAATGTCAGGTATTAACTTTGTTCATAGGAGAAAAGGGGAAAAGCAAATAAACAGCGTGAACAATCCAGATGGGAGGATCGAGTTTCTGCATTAAAGAGTTTCCAGAAGGAAAAGGGTGATTTAGAGTCCAGGGGCCTGACCTACAGCAGAAGAGACTTTGCTGAAGTCTCTTCTCTGCTACAGATTTCCTTCTCAGTCTTGTACAAGCTCTTTGGTTTCTCTGTAAGTTCTGGCCAAATCATCCAAAAGTGAGCAGGCACTGTGACAAAATGGGGACCTTCTCTCCTCTCTTTTGCTTATGCCCCAGAAGGAGCCCAGTCTACAAAACTGAAAGAGGCAAATAATTCAACTAAGTCACTAAGATGTGGTTAGTGATACTGCGGGGGATGGGTCTTGCAGAAGCATTAACCAGATCCATCAACTCTCAAGCAACTAGACTCCTGCCCTCTAACCACCCATGACTTAGAGCAGGGAGTCAAAAATCACAGATATTTTTTTTTGTCTGGAGGTCATGTGGTCCAACCCCCTTCTCAAGCAGGACCACTCAGATGTGGTTGCCCAGGACCGTGTCCGAGTGGCTTTTGCATTTCTCCAAGGATGGAGACTCCGCAACCTCCCTGGGCAACCTGTGCCAGTGCTCGGTCACCCTCACAGTGACAAAGTGTTTCCTGATGTTCAGGGGGACCCTCTTGTGTTTCTGTCTGTGCCCACAGCCTCTGGTCCTGGCACTGGGGACTGCTGAGAGGAGCCTGGCTCTGCCCTCTTGGCACCTTCCCTGCAGGTATTTATATACACTGATGAGATCCCCCGGAGCCTTCTCTTCTGTAGGTTGAATAGTCCCAGCTCTCTCAACTTTTCATCATAGCAGAGATGTCCCAGTCCATTCAACATCTTCATGGCCCTTTGCTGGACTCTCTCTAGTATTTCCATGTCTCTCTTGTACTGAGGAGCCCATAATCAGTTCCAGCACTCCAGGTGTGGCCTCACCAGTGCTGAGCAGAGGTCAAGAATGACCTCCTTCCACCTCTGGCAATATATTTAACACAGTTGAGGATACCATTTGCCTTCTTTGCTGAAAGGTGTCATTGCTGGCTCATGTTCAAATTGGTGTCCAGCAGGAACCCTAGGTCTTTTCCTGCCAATTCCTTTCTAGCTGGGTGACCCCCAGCATGTATTGGTGCTTGGGGTTGATCCTCCCCAGGTGCAGGACTTTGTCCTTTTTCTTGTTGCATGTCAAGAGATTCCTCTCAGCTGGATACAAAGGATACATAGAATCAGATATACAGATCGTGATCAAGATCCAAAGTGAATGTGTTGTTTAAAAGGCCCAATCCCGAACCAACAATGGTTGGTAGAAGTCCAGACTTTAGTGGTGTTGAGATGAAGAGTCATTGATCAGAGACAGATATGCATTGGGATTGCATTTAGCTTTGCCTGTGGCCAGAATTAGCCTTAAAAAAAAAACAACTCAGAAAGCCTAGCAAATAATATGGTAATGCAAAGCAAGATGAAAAATGCAGTATCTGAAAATGGGTATGCACTACAACAAATAAAATAAATCACAAGGTGATTTAAATAAAAAACACAAAGAGAAAATATGATCAACCAGAAATAGAGCTGGAAAGATTGCTGGTTGGTGGGTGTCCAGTAATTTGTATGGGGACATAACCTCCCTCTTCCCTCACTTCTTACCATAGAATTATAGAATGGTTTGGGTTGGAAGGGACCTTTCAAGGTCATTTAGTCCAATCCCACTGCAATGAGCAGGGACACCTTCCACTAGATCGAGTTGCTCAGAGCCCCATCCAACTTGACCTTGAATGTTTCCAGGGATGGGGCATCCACAACCTCCCCGGGCAACCTGTGCCTGTGTTTCACCACCCTCATTGTAAAAATTTTCTTCTTTATATCGTCTGAATCTCCTCTCTTTTAGTTTAAAACCATTACCCCTTGTCTTATCACTACAAGCCCTACTCTTCATTCTTCCCTGTCTTGTCCCTGCTTCCCCTTTCATTTGGGATGAGCACCATGGCAGCACCTGGATGTTTCCTAGGGAGGGTTTTTAAGTGTGTGCGATGTCTTAGCACAGGTGAACTCTGCTGTTGAAACAGTTTTCACAGCTCAACGGATACCCTGAGTTTGGATCTTCATTAGCAAGGAGGATGGTGTGAGCTTGGGGTGCAACCAGGCTTTGAGCCTGCTGTCACCCCCCCACCCTCCCCCCCTTCCTGCCACCCTGTGCACACAGAGCCAGAAATGTAGTGGTTTGTAACACACCCAGGCATCTCTCCTCCCTGCTTATAAATCACGCAGAGATGAAAGGCTGTTTGGAAGCCGAAGATGAATGCAGGAAACATTGATGTAAGCTGAGATTACTCAAAAATGAGCAAATGGTGGCAGGGGCCCTGGGTATTTAGTGATTCAGCCATCTGCCCCTCTTCCTGCCTAGGCACCTCGCACCCTAGAAGTGGTGGGACTCGTGTTTGTCTGTTCCTCTCATTAAGAGCAGGCGCTTGAATGGGCACATGTGTACAGTCAACAGTGCCTTAGGACAGATGGGAAATTAGCCACGATGATGTGAGAAAGTAAAATACACCCTTGTGATTAACCTGTGGTTCTGGCTGCTTTTAGGAAAACACATGCACCATTAGCTGCTCCTGGAGCGAGGATGGGACCGAGGTACCCGGGGGGGTGACACGCTAAAACACACAGGGCTTTGGTTCTTCTTGAGAGCAAGTGGCTTTGATCTGTCTGGAAATTCATGGTGGCTCTGTGATGGCTAAGATTGGAAAGGTTCATCCTTCCCTGGTTCTGTGAACATCCTCAGCACCCACAGGAAGGGTGCAGAGATGTCAGTGTTCAGTTTTGACTGCTCCTGCCTGGGTTATGCACAAGCTGGCCGATGTTGGCATGGCAGGGTCTTCTCAGTGGCATAGCTGGAAGGTGGGTTCATCATGCCAGCCCTTCTCTGGGCAGACCATAGCAAGGTTAATACACAGAGTCCAACTCCTGTGTGTCCCTTTATCACCCTTTAATCGTCCCCTCTTCTGCTGTGGTCCCTGTTCTCCCATGTAGTATCTCCCAGTCTCCAAATCCACTTTCAGTTCGGTCAAATGTTTCAGCTAGTTTCTTAACCAAACCTCAAGGGCTGCACTGTATCTACAATCTGTGCTGCCCATTTCTAAAATCTGGACATAGGCATTCCCCATTCCCTCCTCCCAGTAAAATTGAAGCAACCTTGCTCTTGGAAGTCCTCATGGATTACCTGGGCACCTTACACAGGCACAAGCAGCTGGGTTCTTGCAGGCTTTCCCCATTGGAAAGAAAACCATCAGCTTGTTGTCTGTTAGATGCCTGGGAGCTGGATCTCACCTTACCACATACAAAAACATCCTTTAATCACTCAACACATACTTCAGGACAGGACAAACCTTGGGGATACACCGTGTTGTTGAGCAGGGACATATCCCTGCACCAAGTTCCAGCTTTACATGGATCATTACCAGAGTGATTCTGCACTCCCTTTGCTGTTCTGGTTGTGGGGTGAAGGAGGGGTATGTGTGGAAATAATCACCCTTTTCTCACTTTTTAGCTTTTTTTCCATATTAGCAAATGTATTGGAGGACATTTGAAATGAAGTAGGTTCTCAACAGCATCTAGGCTAGCTCAAGGCAACATGAGGAACTGTGCCATTGGAAATGTCCTTTGGGGCGAGTGGGTGGGAGGAGGTGGAAATACAAGCAATGAAATACATCTAGTGAAAAATGATAGAGTTGTTCCAGTTGATCTTTTCCAACAGTGGTGTGGTGGGTGCTATGGGCCTCAGTCCAGAAATCTTCTATCTGCTCTTCATAGCCAATGCTCCATCCCCCCAATGTGACAACACTAATTTGTGGCCCCGTTTTGGCTCCATCCCTGTGTCTAGCTGGTGAAGACGGCGGAGCTGGACCCTAGGCAGAACTACCTGATGGGATTTCATCCCCATGGGGTCCTGGCAGCAGGAGCCTTTCTCAATTTCTGCACAGAGGCATCGGGCTTTTCCACACTCTTCCCGGGCATCACCCCACATCTGATGATGCTCTCCCTGTGGTTTCGCATCCCATTCTTCAGGGACTACCTGATGAGCGGAGGTGAGCAGGGCAGCAGCACAGGCCAACCCCTCTGGCAAGGGGTGGGATGGGTGGGTGCTTTTTTGGGGAGCAGAGAGTGATGACGCGAGGGGAAGAGTCGTCAACAGTCTGTTTGTCCCCGTCTGTGGCCAATCGGATCCCATGTGTAGACACAGCTACTGGAGGTGCCACCCAAAAACTCTCTGAAGTTAAAAATTGCCCTCTTGGCTGTTACCTCTGTTGTTCAACTTCATAGATCACCTCTGAGCTCAGGGCATCACTGTGCTGGGCACTGTGTAACAGCAAAATGTGGAACAAATCCTGAGCAGAAATGCTGAGACCAGCAGGGCAGTGTGGTCCTGTATTTCTTGATTTCTTTCCATGCAAATAACATTCAGGATTGAAATTGTGGTTGCCACTGAAAGAAGGGGAAAATCTATTTTTCTGAAGCTGCTGCTGCTTGCAGGGAAGCAGCATCCAAGGAGAGAGGATGCAAATAGCAGCTCATGCTGTTGCAAAACCACATGGCTGGAGAGTAAGAAGAAATGAAAAGGAATAGGTAAAAATGAAATAGAAAGAGGGGAAAGGGAGTCTGGAGAGATTTTTGGAGACAGGCAGGAGGTGACCTCCATCTCTCACCAGTGGACTTGGGGACTGGCCACTTCTCCAGCCAAATGGGTTTATGTTGGGGGCAAAGTTCAATAGACTAAATGTGGGCATCCAGCTCCATTTGAGATACCCCAGGGCATTCATCACCCTGTTTTCCACATAAACTCTGGCTCTTGCTGCTGAAAAAATATTTACACGGAGAGTGAGGAATCATAACAATGAGATGTGAGAGAGTTGTGACCCAGGTGAAAGAAGGTTTAATCACTGTAATGCAGGTGCACATCAGTGCATAGCTCATTTTCAGGTCGATTGAATCCATTTGACAAAAAGGTTTTAATTTGCAAATTATTTCAGCCCCTGAAACAAGGATTTTTTTTTAAAAGAAGAAAAACAATGATGCTTTGTCATTTCTGAACTAAGGATTTCTAACTTTTGCAAGTAAGTAACACCAAGGGACCAAATTCTGCATGAAATTCCACTTTAAATTAGTAGCATCCACTGAAATTTGTGTGCGTTTTGACTTAAAGCAAATGTTTCACTGACTTTAGAATGATTCAGGTTTGGACATGGTTTCATTTGACAACAAACTGAAACAGGTTTTCCCTGAGGTTTAAGTGCAGCTAGTTGTCAGTTTATATTTTTCTTGATTTTTTTTTTCCTGTTTCTCACTTCTGGGCCAGATAGCAAAGGGCTAATTGTATATTCACTCAGCAGAGCTGTGCGTGAATCCATCACCTTTCAGGGGAGATGGGCTGAGATTACCCATGTGTAGGCAAACTCTGAAAATAGCGTCTAGCACCCTACCAGAGCTGGATAATGGGGAAAAAAAAAAAAAAAGGTACAAAGCAAACCACAGTTCTGTAGGTTTTACAGATGTTCATTTTTTCTTCCTCTCTGACCCCCAGGCCTTGTTTCCTCCGACAAGGAGAGCGCATCCTATGTGCTGCAGAAGCCGGAGGGTGGGAACATGCTGGCCATCATCGTTGGAGGGGCACAGGAAGCGTTGGACGCCCGGCCGGGATCCTGCACCTTGCTGCTGAAGAACAGAAAGGGATTCGTCCGCCTGGCCATCGAGCATGGGTGATGCAGGGGATGGGGTCAAGGGGTGCTTGGGGAGGGGTGTTCGGGTCTGTGGCTGGCTAACGGGGTGTTCCTGCTCGTTTGAGAGGCAGAGGGGAGGTGTTTTGGGGTGGGATCTGCTAATCTTCATGCCTGTACGTTGGGTTCGACTCCCCGCAGCACCCCGCTGGTCCCCATCTTTTCCTTTGGGGAGAACGACCTCTTTGAGCAGGTGAAGAACCCCAAGGGCTCCTGGCTGCGGCGGCTCCAGCACTGGCTCCAGCAGATCATGGGCATCTCCCTTCCCCTCTTCCACGCGCGAGGCATCTTCCAGTACAGCTTCGGGCTGGTACCTTATCGGCGGCCCATCTGCACTGTAGGTAAGTCCTTCCTCAGCACACCAGCACAATTCTGGCCACGTTCAATCTGGCCAAAGTGGGGGTTGGGGACAGTCCCTGGGTTGTGTCAACCTTGTTCTGGGCTGGAACATCTTGGCAGAGAGTGTGAGATATGCTGGAGCATCATGTCAGAGAGCACGAGATGTGATGGGCTAGAAACATGCTCGTAAAGCAACATCCCCAACTGCTCATGTGTTTGGGACTCTGTCTTGGTCTTATGACAGAGCCCAGGTCATCTGGGCTGTACTGGGAGAGCCCCAGAGCAAACAGGGCCACCCCATCATCCCGATGGGATGTAGCCAACCCCAACCCCAGCACAACCTGGTGATACAAACCACTGCAATAGTGTTGGGTTAAACTTCTTCCAAGCCAATTTTACAAACACAAGTAGGACAACACCTAATCAGTTTGCAGGTTTGCTCAGTGTCCCGTGCAGACACAGCCACAAATCCCAACCTATCTGCATGTGAACAAGGCAAGACATTTTGACCAGAGACCATGCCCATGGGAGATCAAATATCAAGAAAGTCTTTGGTTTTGAGGAAGTTTTGTTGGGCTTCAGCTATTCCGTGCTTGGCCCACCAGTGTGGCTGATGCTGTGTGAATTAGTCTAATTAAAGAGGCTGTTTGGAAAGGTCAGAGCTCACCCCACTGATTAGGTTTGACAGCCAGCAATTACTTCTAATTGTTTTACAACCTGTTTGGATTGTCTCAATGGTTTTATGAGCTGTGCAGTATCACAAGGGCTCTTCATTAGCCTGATGAGGAACAGCGTTACATGATGATGAAACTCTCCATCACTTGACAAACACAATTTGAGTAAGAGACCAGAGCAAGAGAGGTATCTCTTGGACTTTCCTGTCCCCTGCAGGTCCTGCTGCTGGTGGCTCTGAGAGGTGGGAAGGGACTTCTAGTGATAGGAATTGAATTAATTGGAGTTGTCATTGAAAAAAAACATGATTTTCTAAAGATAACTGGATAATTTGGTACCTAATAAAAATCAGGTGTTTCACAGAAACTTTAATCTGGTCAAAGTGGAAGCACCTCAATTGCTAGTGTATTTAGATAGCCTTGGGCTCCCCTAGGCCTCAATTTCCCCATTGGCAATGCAGATTCTCAGGGACATGTGGGGACAGCTTGGAAAGCTCAACCCAAATATTAGGATGATGTTGTCTTTATCTGCGGCACATCTGAGCTGTAAGGAGCAGCTGTAGGGACTGCACTGGGATGCAGTACTTTTAACTTCAAAATGCTACACAGTGGGTCTTTGACATTAATCAACTTTGCAGATGGGGAAATTGAGGCAAAGACCTTGGCGACCAAGAGCAGAGTCAGGATCTGACTCTCCATCTCCCTGTGTCTTTGGTTCTGCCTCTTCCCACACTCTGGGACATGACTACTCATATTGATCCATCCACTGCATCCTTGGAGAGGTGGACCCCAGCTCTGTGCAAAGGTGTGCAAAGTGTTCAGAGGGACCTGACATGGGCTCCTCCTAATGCCTGTGCTTGTTTTCCAGTTGGGAAGCCAATTCCAGTGCAGAGGAAGCACAGACCCTCCAAGGAAGAGGTTGATCAAGTCCATCAGAAATACCTAAATGAATTGTGCAAGCTCTTTGAGGAGCACAAAGCTAAATATAACATCCCAGAAGACAGACATCTGGAATTTATATAGGGCTCTTCAAGGAAGGTGAAACCATGGAGATCAAGATCCAAGTTTTTCCCTATCTCTGGAGCTATTTCACAACCTCAGCTTAGTCACAGTTGACATATGGTCTGTACAGTGTAGGTAGAAGGATTTGATTTTTTCCCAGCATTTGCATGGGTGTAAGGCCAGAGTTTTATTTTTTTTCTCTCTGTAGGACAGATAAAAGATATGAAGAAGAAGAAAAAAAATCCCACCTGCAGTTAGCACTACTGAAGCTCCCCAGCAGAAAACTCACACTTCCAGTCTGGCTTGGAGGCCAGTTTTTTAAGATATTTCCAAGCAGATATGAATTATTGAAAGTTTCCTTTGCATTATTTTCATTCAGAAATGGGATGATGAGCCATAATTTCTGCTGAATGCATGTTTTTTTTTTAAAGTATAATTTGTCTAGATCAACAAGCGATCATTGTTTGCGTGATGCTCTTCATGTCTTTAATTGCTCTGGGCTCTTTTCTCACTACCTGAAACATGATTTATCAGAAAGCTCATACTGCCAGCATGATACCAGGCACCTGATGCTGTACCCCACTGGGGTAAAAGAAATAAAACATTTATAAAGGGCGAAGGCTCATCCTGAGGGTTAACCCTATCTGGGATCCAGGAGTTCTGCTTAGAATTTTATCAATTTAACCCCAGACACCCCTGCATGGGAACACCTTGGATAAGTCATCAGCTATGGCAGCGCTGTCACTGTGCATTTAATTTTACAAACAAGGCCACTTGCTAAGGGGAGAGCATGGCCAAGAGAAGGGCGAAGTGATTTGGGACAGGAAATATGGCTCATAAAGCCACGTTTGGCAGGTGATCAAGGCATTAAATAGCTGCTTTTTCTTGATATCCAGAACTTTATTAAACTCTGTACTTAATGGGATTTTGCAACATGGAAGTTTTAGGTGGCAGAAAACCATCTGCTCAGATCAGTTTTACATCACCCCTATAGAACTCTTATACCATCGCCTTCTTCCCTCTCTCCCTTCTTTTCTCCTTCCCTTCCCCACGTCCCATTCCCCCCTTGCAAGGAGCCACCAAAAATCCTGTGGAGCACGTGCACTTCATTGCACCCAGGATTTTTGTTACTGCAGCTGCAAGAATTGTATTTAACAAGGAAAACACACAGAACTGTTTCTCAACTGACAATACCAGGGCCATCACTATGCTTTGTTTTCTTTTCCCTTTCTTCCTGCCCTGATCAAATTACTCCACTGGATTCTTAATCTGAATGACCCACTGGAAATCCCTCCTATTCTCAAAAAACAAACAGCAACAGGGAAGAATTTGGTGGAGCCCTTATTGACATTTCTAAACCCTCCTGTAATCCCATGCTTAATCCAATCAAATAAAGCAGGTCACCTGATATGAATTCTTGCTTGCTTTCTATAAAGACTTTTTCTTTTGTCCTTAATTAAGGACAGAGGTGACTAAGCAAGCACCAGGAAAATAAAAATAATTCTCTCCCACCCTTTTCTTCTGGTGTTTGTCACTATCCAAGCTTTACCCTAACTCCAGGTTTTTTTTTCCTGTGCTTTCCTCTGCCTTCCTTACTATTGGCCATGCCATTTGCAAGTCCCAGGAACATTGCCATGACCTTCTGCAAACAACCCGGTGGGGATCAGTGCTGGACGGAAGCAATGGGGATGTCCCCAGGGACATGGGGTGCTGTGGGGATGGTGGAGGTCTCCAGGGGTGAAGAGAGGAAGCTGCAATCTTGATGTAATGGGAAAAAGAGCAAAGATGCTGCTGTTGGATGAGGAGATGCCGGATGGGTGGTTGCATGTGGTGATGTAGGAAATAGGGAGGGAGCAGGTGCAAGGTCCAGACCGTGGCATGGACAAAGATGACAAGTGTTGGTACAGACAAGAGGGGTTGGGTCTGTAGGAGTGACATGACTCTGCCCCAACACAATGGAGAAGCTGTATTGGAAGGTGTGCTCCCCAGTTGTCCATGGAGGCTTTAGTCTTCCCCTTTGGGGACCTGACAAGGTGTCACCTCTGATGCCGGAGGCACACCTACTTGGGAGGTGGGATGCTCCCTCAACTTCCGGACCATCTTGAAAGACAGAAAAGGCAGAAAACAGGTAATCATGAAAAAATCACAGGGAGGAATGAGGAGAGGAGGATGCTGGAGCTGCCTGAGGGCTGATGGGGTGGTCAGGGGCATGCAAGGCCCGAAGGCAAAGGAAGACTGCAGTTCTGGAGAAGAAGGGTCAGAGGAGGGTATTGGCTATATATAATTGGTTTCCTTTGAGGTCAGTTTTATCTCACAGACTGGAACACATCCTTGTTCCCTCAGGGACCTATATAACCCTGGAGAGGTCAGTGCCTGGGCTTGTGTTACATATAACATTAAGAATAATAATTCATAGGTGTCCTTGCAGCTGGAGCTATGCACCAGGCTCAGCGTGATGAGAGGTCTCATCTTCTCAAATGTCCATAGCTGTTTCTGAGCGAAAAGCCGTAAGACGAGAAGCTTTTGTGCTATTTCAGCCTTGCACAGATCTGTCTGAAGGATTAAAACTCCTCTGATGCAACACAAGGCCAGAAAAACCTTAAGAAAAGAGGAATGCCTGAATCAGCCAGTCCAACCAAAGTAAATTGGGTTTGGAGTCTGCAGCTTGGGGCTGGCTCAACTGGAGGCACAAATGCTAGGATGGGGGGACATCCAAGCTGTCACCCCAAAATAAGGACCATTTAAAACTAAAACAACACAGCATGTTTCCTGCCAGCATAAATCACTCCTTATTTCTGCTACTGGCTTTGATTTGAGAAACAAGCCCAAGGAGAAGAGATAAATTAATTACTGCTCTTGCACAAATTTCAGCCTTTTTGGGACTTCTACAGAAATTCCAAATTGGAAAATATGGTCAAAAATAAAGGTGTGATGATTTGGTATTCCTCTCCTGCCTGTCTCTTCCTCCAACCACTTCCTTCGTGAGCTTTCCAGTATTTCTGTTGTGAGAGGTACTAATCTGGATTTGCCTTACTTAGCGGGTTCAGATCATGAGGCTCAGAAGAAAACCTCCAGTGACTGAAGAATACAAAATATAGACTAATTCCTCATGAGGAGGAAAGCCAAGCAAAATGCTTTTTCTGTCTTTCTGTAGCTCTAGTCCCACGAAATTGTTTTACTGCCCTGGGAATGGGGTTAAAAGGTTGCTTGCCGTTGCGGCAAACAACTAGAAAAATGTGTGGTTTTCTACTCAGGGAAAGATTTCCTGCTTGTAATTCAATAAAGACCCAAAATGTGGTATGTTAAGCATCCCTCCCTCACACCACAGAGCCTTTGCCTTTTCAAGAAAGGAAATAAAATTGAAAATGCATCTGAAACCCATAACTTTGCTTTCAAAACCATTTAAAGCATTTAAAAATCAACCACAAAAATCACCCACAAATCCCCCCAGGAATGTGGACACTTTTTTGGGGTAATGTTTTAGTTCTGTCTAATCTGAACCCAATGAGCTGCTTTTCTGCACCTCCCATCACCCGAGATCACCTTTTGACACAGCCTTTCTGGGACTAACCATCTGATACAGGATTTTGGCAGACAGCCTTGTTCAGGTTATAAAAAACCACCAGTAGAGAAATAACCTGCAGTGATCAGTGTGCTGAATGAAACAGGTTGGTTTAAAAGAAATAGTGGGTATGGTTGATCCATTTTTCAAACTTGTGCCTACTCTTACTCCTGGCTGTGTCCCATTCATGTTTTATTAGATCGTTTGAAGCCAAGAAAAAGAAGCCCAAACATGGTTTCAATGAGCAACACAAGATGCACTGAAAATTACATACAGAAAGCACTGTGGAAATGATTTGAAATCACTTGGATTTGTGAAATGCTCGCAGAAAATACATGAGCAGAAAATTGTGCACGCAGAGAAAATTGTGCATGCACGGAAAAAAATGCACCACAGTCATCAAGCACAGAACTTGGTTGCTTACTGCAAACAAACGATTCATGGTCAAGTGTATGTGTGGATGCCGGAGGAATTCCCCTCCACATCACAGAGTACTTTGAACTGTGAGAACAACCCTGCATTGCCAAGAGCACGTAAACAATGCTATAGGATTCTTCCATCGAGGAGATACCGTAAGGTCAGGGTTTTCAGAAGTGTTTGCAAAGTGCTTAGCTTCAACATTCTGTGAAGGAGATCCTTTACGCTGCTGCACAGCAGGATCTCCTAACAAGGCTAAGTACCTCATTTTACCCATCAGCAACCCAAAATCTTGACTCTAGAGACTCTGCATCACTATGCACTTACTTGCTGGAGTTGCAGTGTGTCCCTCTGATGAGGGAATGAGCTGGGTTATGGGTTTTTCCACGTTGTATTTTATATCAGTCCCATGACATTGCCACCAAATCCCACTGTGTCTTGCTTCCAAGAACTGCCAAGCACTTTACAAGTAAATACGCTCCATAATCCCCAGAGAGGTGGAGCGGGAGCTCCTTTAACCCCTTGGTTGTTGCTGGGCTGCTCTCAACCTGAGACCGTGCACATCAGAGGGCCAGAGAGAAAAAATAATCATGACCCTGTGGCCCAAATCCTTGGTGCGTTTAGACACAACTGATCTGCTCCAGGTCACAGGAAGTCTGTAGCAAAACAGAGACCTGAATCCTCCATCCCACGTCCTGGGGTCTTAACTGTGGCACTGCCTGTTCTCTTACAGTTAAGCCCTGAAGACAAGATTGGGGCAGATATCTGACCCATTTCAACCACCAGATGCATCCTTTTAAATATCCTCTGTTCAATGTTGTTCCTGACCGACCGCTGTTCTAAGGTCTCATTCTGGCAGCCTGTCTCCCATCATTGCCAAAGGATTTGCGGGATTCAAGGGTACCCCAACCGCAAAGCCCTGACAAATATACCAGAGGAGTGGGATGAACACTTTGACAGGTCCTCTGGATCTTGACCCCTTACAGGAAGGAGCCCTGAAAGAGACACAGAGAGGTTTTTTCTTCCAAACACTCAAGCAACTGATGGTGTGTCCCAGTACCAGTCCCATAACACTGTCTCCTACCAGCTATCAATTACCCATGGCCAGTGTCAGGAACATCTGGGGTATTTGTCTGTACAAGTGATGAGTAACCCCTAATGATATCAGGAGACATCCCAGCATGTCTACTTGCCTGTTGCTATATCTTCAAATTGTTGTTGTATCAGCAAGAAGGGATCTTTATAGGAACATGGTTTATTTTATATGTGAATCCAGAAAATGTCTTGGGTCTTCTTAAGTCAATATGAGACATCCTGCAGCTTTACAGGTAACACGCTGCAGTTAAAGATGGGATGGAAATTTAAACCCTATCTTAAAGCTGGGTTTTGTGAAATTATTCTGAGAGAAGATTTCTTACCAAATAAACCTATGGATCAAAGTATCCTAGAGACACATGTGTAAGTCATATAAAAAGGCAAGCTCCTGGGTGTGAATCTGGTAAGAGCAGGATCAGCAAATCCCCTTCTCCCATGGGAGCAGCACTGTCCTCCAAGGACATCTTTGCTCCTCACATGGGGACAGCTATTCTGGCCAAGCTGCACTTGACCAATCCAAGGACATGCTCACAGCATCAGGGCTGGAGACATGGAATCTGCAGAGTGCTTCATCCCAGCCTGGTGGGTAACAAGTGCAGTCTGATGTTCTCCCTGGGTGACTCTGGTGCTTCGGGGCTTGGTGTCCTCTCCTGGCTCTTTTTTGCTGTTTCATTTTATCACTGATGTTGGCTTGCTCCTGCTTTAGATTCCCATTTCCAGCCTCAGGTGCTTCAAGTCTTGTCCATAGGGCTCTAACCATTGAGCCAGATGGCCATCCAGCCTCGAGACGTTAAGAAATCACCTCTACTGAGCAAAATGAG